CTGTGGGCAGTCCCCGTGCTGCGGGGCCACGCACTGTCCTGCTGGGACCCTGTGTCCGGTGCCCGCTCCAGCCTGGCCGCAGCAGGCAGTGGTTTCTCCATCTCTCAGAGATTCTGGACAGGTTGGAACTGGCCCCGATCTCGAGAGCGCATCCTGTGTCTGGAGCAACGCGAGGGGTCATAGCCTGCCCGGTGCCAAAGATGTTCCCTCAAAACCGGCCCCCGGTGAGACTGCGGCTCGGCGTTGTGCCCTTCCAAGACAGGGATGAGCATATGGGTCCAGTGACAGCTCTGCTGGCCTGTCCTTAATGTGGTTTCTATGTCCCGACCCAACTGAGCTCCCACTTGGAGTGGTGTGAGATGCTTTTGACACACCTCGGCCTGGGCTTTGCCTGGAATTCATGCCTTCTGCATGCTGCGGGCACAGGGCACCTTTGGTCCTCCTCCTCCTTAAGCCTGCACTTGTGCTCTGGAGTGTTTTGGGTCAAGGGATCAGCGTGAAGTCAGAGGGAGTTTCCCTTGGGAGCTGTTGGATGGATCCAGTGGAAATCTCGGTGGTGGGATGTAAGGGTGCGGATGGGTCACGGTCCGGGGCGCGCAGGGTCTCTGCCGCAGCCGTTGTCTCCCCTGCCCTCGCGGGCCGTGCTCCCTGCAGCATCGGCACTTGTTAATCCTCCTCCGCCTGCCCAGCGACTGAACCTCTGTCCAAGAGGTGGAAATCAACTGCCCCGTGTCTCTGCTTTTCCTCTGCCATAACTTTTCCTCCTCCTGCACATGCTGCTTTCCTGATCGTGCCTATAGCTGCTTCCCAGTGTATGGGAATGGCTCCAGGAACAGTGAAACCGCCAGGGGCCGGTCCTGACCAGGGACAGTTGCAGTGACCATGTCCCCCTGCTCGGCCCAGGCCCACCTGCAGGCCCCCTCTGCCGCTTCAGCCCCCTTGGCTGCCAGTGCCATCCCCGCCACCTCGCAGTCGCTGAAGCTTACTTACCCGGAGACCTTGGACCGGATCAAGGAGGAATTCCAATTCCTGCAAAATCAATACCACAGGTGAGGCGCTGCCAGCCTGCGTGCCAGCGAGGAGCGTCTGCTCAGCTGGAGCTGGCAGTAGCTTTGTGCGGCACCGGGCACCAGTGCGGCTGGCAGCAGGGCCGGGCCCTGGCTGTGCCGGGCGCGCAGCCATCTGGCTGCCCCAGGCAGCTCCTTGGCTCCCCGAACCCTCCTCATCCGCGGGAATCTGCCCTCCCCACCTCGCTCTGCTGGAGCGCGGGGCTGGGGGGTCCGGTGTGTGCGACTGAGCGCCTGGGCCAGCGCTTATGAGTACCGACAGGCTTGAGGATCCCCCTCGGCGCATGCTGGCCAGAGCGAGGCCTGAAGCACGGCTGAGCTCTGCTCCATTTGGGAAGCAGATGCTGGGGGGGAAACGCCACAGATCAATCCCTGACACGGGAGCCCCTTCCTGTCCGCCCCGGCCCCTTCCCACCCTCTTTCAGGTGGTGGTTTTCTTGGCTCGTGCAAAGAGCAGGATCGAGTCTGCTAGCGGGAGGCTGGGGCAAACGGCGTGCAGGGAGGTTCCCGCTCCGTCTGGCCTGGGAGACCTTCCCTGCTGGGGGGAGAGCTGGGGATCTATTTCCCTTTCTTTTTCTTTCTTCTCTCTATTTTTACAGCTTGAAGTTAGAATGTGAAAAGCTGGCAACGGAAAAAACAGAAATCCAGCGTCATTATGTCATGGTGAGTGAGCTCCACCTGAAAGGAGCAGGGTGGGGGGGCTCTTCTGAACCACCAAGGGATGCGTGGCCCTGGGACGCTCCAGCTTCCCCTGTTTTGGGGTTTGAAGCCAGAACCCGGGTCCTGGGGCTGTTGTTGTCTTCTTGCTCTGCCCCGACGTACGTAGTGGTGCTGGAGTGATATTAGCTGCTGCAGTGTGTGGAGGGATAGGGCAGCATGCCCACATGCTCAACCCCTTTCTGCCCGACGTCGGTGGGAACCCGGCAGGGCCGTGTCCGTCCTGCAGGCTACGACCAGGCTCTGCTCCCTGGCCTAAGAGCCGGGACTGTTTCCTGCCTTGGGCCTGGAAACGCAGGTGTTGAGTTGGGCGACGTTGCAAGCCATTGCGGAGGGCTCTCCCCGCGGCTGACACTCTGCTTCCCCCCTGCAGTACTACGAGATGTCCTACGGCCTCAACATCGAGATGCACAAGCAGGTGAGTCCTGGCGGGCAGGAGTTGCCCCAAGGAGTGGGAGAAGGGGGCCTTGCGTTGCGCTCGTTCCCGCGCTCCACGGAGCTCTGCCCCTCTGCATCGCGGCCTCACGGGAGAGCCGCCCCTGCCCGCGTGGGTGCTGCGGCATCATCGGCACTGGAGGAGCGCGGCCCCCGGGGTGCCACATCGAGATGCACAAGCAGGTGAGTCCTGGCGGGCAGGAGTTGCCCCAAGGAGTGGGAGAAGGGGGCCTTGCGTTGCGCTCGTTCCCGCGCTCCACGGAGCTCTGCCCCTCTGCATCGCGGCCTCACGGGAGAGCCGCCCCTGCCCGCGTGGGTGCTGCGGCATCATCGGCACTGGAGGAGCGCGGCCCCCGGGGTGCCGGGGCTCCAGGGCGATGGGCTGCTGCTCGTGGGCTTTGCAGGGGCTGGGGAGCCGGAGCAGCGCGGGGCTCGGGCCGCCAGCTGG